TTTGTTGCTTAGGCTGAGCACATAGTGGAGCGTATTATTGACAACTATGAGTAACCGCCAACAACTAACTAATATTTGAACTCTGCGCCCCACTGAATACTTAGCCTTAGTTATCTTAGCAAAAATCTAGTAAAGCTGATTTCAAAACAACGTTTAAGACTAGAGTTTCTCAATATCGACTTAATTGTCTTTTATAATAAAGTGTATTACGGACAGTTGCTCCTCTTATTACAGTTYATATATTATTAATATTTTATTTTAATATAATATTTCTTCTAGTGTCTAGTGATCATTTCCCTTAATAATTTTCACTTCGGTGGTTTATAAGAAATGCATTTTCGATAATAAATATTCAACGGATTTTTAAGGCTAGAAGCAATTTACATATATCTAATATATAAGTAGTAAAGCTTTTCAGATACAAATTGTTGTTTTTATATGAGAAATGAGTGCTTATTTTTGATTGATTAGAGTTGTAAATTTTGATGAACGTTCTTAGAAAATAACRTGTCAATAAAACCTGCTTAGTTATGCTAATTATGGTTTTATTGGACCATAGGAGGAGAAAGTAGCTTTTAAGACCCATTTATGGYACAATAAATGAATTAAAAAAATTGTTGACTGTTATAAAAAAGTTTTCGAAAATAACTATATACTATATATTTAGCTCACAATTTTACTGTTATATTTAAAATGTAACTAGAAGCCACTGATAGTTAATGAAGATATCTCTACACATTCGTCGGTCAAGTTGGGTTAGGTCATAAGTTTCATACAAAATGGATGTATCTCACTTGGACAGTCCCTTCTGTTATCCATAAACTTCTAAAGCTGTATCTTCTGAACCTTATAGATCGACGAACGTTTTGTGCTTATCACAAATTTCTTAAGACGGTTAATGTCAATCCCAGCAACTTCGCTAGGTTTGACAAAAGTGTATCTACTGAGATATCTCAATCTCAGTCTGGCAAAAGCCGGRCAATMAACAARGAAGTGAGRAGATTATTCCACCTCGCCATCTTCCATATAGTTTGAGTGTTCGACAGAACATTTAGCCACAACGCGTATGAACTGATTGGACAGTATTCGGTTAAAATTATGAAGATATTAACTTTGCTAAGAGCCGGTAATATTGAGGATCTCTTGCCCACATACAATTCTACTATAATAGTATCTTGAATATTATGCTATCGTCAAAAGTACATGTTAAAAGCTTAAGGCTTTTCGTCCAAAACGTGACATTTAGTTGTCAAAACTTATGTAAAGAGCCACATAAAGTCAAAGGTAACAAAATGGAGGCGTTGAAAAACAAGTTGCATTTTTTCGAAAATTTTGGTCGTTTTCAACATGCGGGAATTCGATTTTTGAACACATCAAAAAGCTGGTAGATTTTTGTACCGAGAACTATGTTCAGAAAGGGCAGATGATAATGATCGAATCATTTGCCTTCGAGTAATCACCGCAGCGATAACCAAAATGGTTTTTAAAGATAAACTGACGGTGCTGATTGAACTGAGCGGCTTACACCTTGGAAGTCTGTAAAAAGTATGTCAAAAATATTTTAAAATTTTAAAATTTTAGTATAGTATTCTCAAAAGTATAGCYTATAAATTTCAATCTAGGTGTAGCGCTTAAAACAATAGAGTTTTTTGAAATTTTTACCCTTTTCCAGGGAGACCTATCCGGCTACAAAATTGTTCACAAGTTTGATCKATAGTATATTTCGAAATTTTTGACTAACCGAAAACTCAGGCATTGAAAAAGTAACACTTTAAGTTACACTTGTATTCACAAAGCTGGAAACATATATAATTTTTTGTAAGCAACTCAAAACTTAAAGAGTACTTTCTTCATTTGATTTTGGCCTAACAGTAAACTAAATACATATGTATACCTGTGTAATTACATACATTATTTGTGTATACACAAGTTTTACAATATTTTTGTGTTTTTTTTTTTTTTTTTTTTTTTTTTTTTNATTTTTGTGTTTTTTTTTTTTTTTTTTTTTTTTTTTATTTTTTTTTTTTTTTTTTTTTTTTTTTTTTTTTTTTTTTTTTTTTGTTTTTGATTTTACTTCTCTAAATAGTTGCTTCCCTTTTTGTTGTTGTATTTGTATTTCTTTTTCGTATAAGGCAGTCATTGTATTTTATGGTGTCTTCGTATAATCAAATGATCGTTAATTATGAAGCGATATAAATACAAATGATGTCATCCTCGTCGCMTGTTGAAATTTATGCGTTCTAAGATTTGTATAAATGGCGGCTTGAATATTTTGTGTATGTAGTTGTGCATATTAGAATCTCCGCTTCAACGTCGAATTATCGTTTAAAGCTCGACGAGTGGCTTTTCGGGCGCGTCGCATCTGGAAGCTTTCTCATCGTCGTAGGTACGATCACTGGTGCCCGATTCGGTGGCAGGACTTAACGGTATCAGCGATTTCGTGCTACCGATCATTTCGTGTGTGTCGATGGGTGGTTCCTCCTAAAAAATAATATTATATCATCATTATATCAGCATCATTGAAGTAAACTGGTTTTATGTATATGTTTATTAAGGTTGGTTATGGGTCTTTATGCAGTAACTTTGCTTGACCTTTTTTTGCTAAACTAATTTTATTATTCCTCTATACTCCATCACGCAGGGAACATTGGTTTTTGATGTGGGTTTTCGGCTACCTATCTCCTTACATTTGGTTCTTTTAATGTTGATAACATTTGATTTAATGTATGAACAAAAGTCTTTGTTGTAGAAATATAAAACTGTCAGAGGCTCTCAACATTTCGCGAGCAGAGATCGCAAAAGTTTTTGGTTTAACTGAGGGCAATAAAGGCTATTTTTTATGCTTTTAACAAAGTATTATAAGATTGTAACAAAGTTTTTTACACACAGAAGAAATCGTTGGAGACCCTATAATATATATACATAAATGATCAGCGTGACAACCGAGAAAGGATCGGAAGTTTTTCACACGTAATTTTTTCCCGAGAAGATGCTATCATTCAAATTGAGCGACCAAAATCTCGACGAAATTTAGCATGTATTATGGTCCGAGTTAGCAGTTTAATCTCCAAAYGAATTGCTCGGATCGGCCTACTATAGCATATAGCTGTCACACTGGCTGAGCGATCAAATCAAGTCCTTAAATTATTTTTACTTGACGAATTTGATCTTCTAACATATTGTTCAGGTAGGCAAGTGATAGGTTTATCTGTCACATAACCTGACCGWTGMAAATCAAGTTCTTGTATGCAAAACTTTTTTATTTGTGAAAAGCATTTAGTGCAAATGGAGTTAAGAGTTACCTTGTTTTGTCGAAACACAGGTTTATTAAGCGAACCCGAAACGCGGTTTGCGCTGTAAGATTGAGCTTATGAGCTCGAAAAGGCCTCCAAACAGACTCACCTCGACATTTCTGCGCCTGATATCCATATCGTCGTCCGTTTCGTAGATTTTTGTGCCCTGCTTGCGTTGTTTACCACGATAGTTATCCTCCAAGTCGGAGTCATCACCCGAGCAGACGCAGCGCATTTTGGCATCGTCGCCAACCTTTGATTTTAATTGTAATAAATTATTCAATTAGAACGCTTGTTGTTTATCGCATAAGAAATAAATATTTATTTGATTTCATTACTTAGGAATTACCTTGACCAATTTTGTGATTATGCAAAGTGAAATCGATGAAACCACAAACAAAATAATCGGCACAATTAGCGACACCAACAGCTCACGATAGACCTTGTCCAAGTCGTAGCGTGCCACCACAAACTCCACAGCTGGATCCTGTGTTGTGAAATATATAAATATATATGAAATATATATATAACATTCGCAAATGAATTCAATCATCATAAATACATAAGTAGTGRTTTTAAATGGTATGTGCGTGCCGGAAAACCAACTATTGAAGTTCAATCGTCTTCCCTCTTTACTCACACCCTTGGTACACACTTTACTTGCTAAGCGAGTATCTCAGCGCATTTAGTAACTAAGAACTTGGCGCTCACCTTGTTGTAGTAACACTGATAGCGTGACTGCGCCGTGTTGTTATCGCCATCGTTGCCATAGCGTGCCACGAAATCCTTGCATTCGCCTCGCAATGTATTCACGCAGCCCTCCAAATTGATATATAACTTTTTCCACGTGTAAATTGTCAGATTGGCCTGATTAGGTAGGAAACGTTGTTCTGGATCGACGGAATGTGTGCTATTCGCATATATGCTCCAGAATTGTGTGAAATTCATGAATGGTTGTGGCAGTGTGCCTGTTTCCAATATGGTGCCATTCAGGCAGTCCGTTGCGCTATTTATAAAAACAAAAAAACACGTTATAAATTTATTGTTATATATTATACATTTATGATAGCTTTCTTCTTAAATAATTTTGTTAGTTTCACTTACATTATCTTGTCGCCCTCTCGCTTCACCGTAGCGCAATTTGTCAGCAGTTGACCGTCTYCATCCTTCCAGATTTCGGTGGGTTCAATTTTAACACCATGTTCGCTGCCGCGTGCCTCATTGAAGGCAACAGCGGTGTCGCAATCGGCGGTGATAACGGTGTCTTCCTAATGAGGAGAAATTATATATTTCGTATATTTCGAACATTAGAMTAACTACTTCTTCAAAGTCAATGTGTTTAATGTCAAATTATTAAAGAAGCTTAAAACGTTGTTTCCTAGTTAGGCTTAGTACAGGATTGTTCGGAAAGTAATAGGATTAATTTTCTTCAGTCGCGACTGTACTTCGGAGTGTATGCGCACCAACTGGATTCGGTAGAAGGCGTTCCTAGCTAACATACCAGCRGCTGCCAGTTGCCTCCGAGCACCTGAAGGATCAGGACAAGTGATATAAGCCGAAAATGCAGCGTTCGTTAGAGCAGAAGCACGCGATTGAATTCGATGTGAAGCTCGGTAAGTCTGCGACAGTGACGTTTGATATGATCAAGCAGGCTTACTAAGATATTGCTTTAGCAAGAAGTKTTGTGTTTAGGTGGTACCAGGCCTGTTTGGAGGTCCGGGAAAGAGTTGGTGTTGAAGACCGGAAAAATGAGCAAATTCAAAGAGAAAACGATGCTCATTGTCTTTTTTCACATCAAAGTCATCGTCCACCATGAATTTGTTCCTCCTAGACAAACCGTCAACGCCAAGTTTTACGTGGGAGTCARCAAGATACTATAAGTAAGGCTCAATCGGGACCGACAAGACATCGCARCCGATTGGAAGTTGCACCACGACAATGCCTCGGCTCACACCRCCTTTCTTGTAAGCATCTATCTAACCAAGGCCGGCATCCCAAGGCTTCAGCCGCCCTATCGCCCAGATTTGGTCGCCCGGACTTTTTTCTTTCGTTTCCTGAAAAGGGCGATATACCGGAGGATGCCTTCGTGACGCCATCAATGCTTGGAAATCGCGTTGGGGCGCTGCATCGACGAGAAGGAGCCTAATTTGAAAGTTTCGTCTTCGTCCTATTACTTTCCGGACAAACTCTGTACATAGCAGAAGAAATAAAAACATTCAGRAATCCATAAGTCAAATGCAGATCAAATAATAAAATAGTTGTTCTAGGAATATCTTTTGGGATTAAACTCACACATCTCTGGATCTTCTACTGAGCGACAGCATTATCAAAAGAGGGAAATACCCTCGGCATATTACAGCGAATAGAGTAAATCCACGCTTGAGGCAATAAGGAGGATCGTAATTTATTAGATTGCAACTGCATGCAAATAAACTGGCTAACAAGCTGTCCCGCTTTGCAGCGGCTTCTAAGATAGTAGGGACGAAATCCTTCATTGCGGATGGTCGCCATACCATAAAAGAACAGTTTCTCAGGAAATAGAGAAATGGTTGGTCTGCCAAATTTGCTAATGGCTTAGAAACTCACCATCAATCATATAATTAAACTCTCCAGAGACAAGTTTCTGCTACTTTTGGTATTTAACATGGGACACTCCAGGCTTAAGAAGCAAATGTTTAAGATGGGTATAGTCTCTTCTGCGAACTGTTCGATTTGCAACATGGCGCCCAAAACTGACAAGCTGCTGATTCTAGACTGCGTAATAGAGATTACACTGTTCCAGTAGCACCTAGCAGCATCATGGAATTTATCAGATTGCTAAGCCTATGTGAGTCTGCGTCGAAGGGAGGACAATCCTTCGCGTTTAGACGATCCAATTGCAGTGCAATCTTCGAAACTCAATCAAAATTGATATTCCAGTTAAACTTTTCACAATCTATGAGTATTCCGAGCAATGCTGTCAGGCTTATATTCTATAATGGTATTTTGTGTAATATATAGTATACTATTAACTCATGTGACATTATAAACTCGAGTTAATTATATATTTTCGCGTTTCGAATGAATTCAAAAAACAATTCGGATAATCATTAGTTTTGCTGAGAAACTAAAGTACATTACCGCCAGTCATAGGTGAATATACTTGTATATGTATGTACTTACATGCATTAACAGCACATTGATCGATGTCGTTGTAATCTTCGTGCAGTAACGATCGCATGTGAACGGCTTCTTGATCTTCGTGCAGTGTACGCCGTGACACTCGAAAAATCCATTCAATTTCGTATTGTCCTTTGCGGAGTTAATAGTTGGGCCATCAGGCTTATGATGACACAAAAAGAATTCGGACATGTTTTTGCAGTGACCTTTGGTGAAGATCAAAAAATTAAAATATATCAATGGATGAACTTAATTTCTTAGTTGGCTTCTGTATATGACTTTCTTACCATTGGAGCAGTTGAAGACGCCACGAATATTATTACAAACTGTGCCGTTATTGCAGTTGAATTTATTCAAACGATTCATGTCGATCTAGTTACGAACATTAATTAATTACTTAATTTCAAAATATAATTGAAGGTTTAATTAAAATTAGTCTAAATGTAAAGAAAGTGTGAATTCGGTTCGAAAACCAATTTAGATACAAAGGCTACTCCTTATTCAAAGGTTAAGGGTCAAATACGGTTTTGGTCTTACTTAAGCCCATTCAATATGAAACTAAAATTATGCTAAATTCATTTTCATAAAATATTTAAAAAAAAATTACTCAACACAGAGTCAATTAATTGCCATCGTGGGCGTAACCCCCTCTATTTGAGCTATTTTGACGCCAATCACCAGTCCTCCTGTGTTATATTTTCAAGAGCATTGCAATTAAATGAACCATCGACAGCACACGAGTCTCCAAATTGAATGAAATGACGTCAAATAGCACACGAATTCATCGAATCCGTTCTACGTAAATACCCAACTGCTATCCATTTCCGGCGCTCTAAGTATACATATATACAAACACATATAAATATGGATGAATGTACGGAAATAGCCATCAATGACATCGAGGAAAATCGAAAATCACTCTTTAGCACTTGGGTAAATGTCAAAACTGTGTACTTGTCAACAGCATACGCACACATATCCTAACACATACATACACACATCCCCACTTACTCCCAATCTCACACTTGAGTGTCTATTTTGTCCGCTTTCTTCAAAATAAAAAGGTTGCCAAATTGAATTTTCAGCACTTACCATGGCACAGGATGTATTGGCGATTCGTGTGCAATTATTGAGTTGAATATCGGTACCGTTACGCCGCACCACCGAGTGTATTTGTGGACAAAACCCACTTGTACGCGTCAGACACCATTCGCCACATGAGGCCCACGGRCAGTTATTTGGCATTTGGCGATCGACCGTTTGGCACATAACGGGGTCGAGTTCGAAACCAGATTTGAATGCTCTGCAAGTGCAAAATATGGTGTTAAAATGTTGTGGAATAGCAAAGTAATTATTGTGTCTGAATTACACTGTGCAGTAAAGAGTATATACGTATGTATGTATGTACAATTACGTTGAAGAAGAAGACTTTTGATGAAAAATTAGAAACTAATCACACTCAGCAATACATGGTGATTCCCAAAGCAAACAGCACTTAAAAAAAAAAAAAAAAAAATGAATGGTTTTTTGGCAAAATCAATTTATTTTATTCAAAAATTTTATTCCAACGAATGTTTTAGCTCGTTGATCAGTATGGCCTTTACGTCTGCATAACGCTTTCCTTTCATGAGCAAATTAATTTTTTCGAAAAGGAAGAAGTCGCATGGTGCCATATCAGGTGAATACGTGGAGTGGTTCATGGTTAAGCTCCGATTTTTGGTCAAATAATCGTCCTTCGAATGTTGGATTCTGAGCAAGTTTTGGTCGTCAGTCAATTTGTGCGGAACAAACTGCACACACCTTTCGTAAGTCCAAATGTTCGGTCAAAATGCGAAAAATCGATGTTTTGGAGATGTTCAATTCCATTTCAATGATTTCGGCTGATTTTTGGTGAATTCACGCACAGTTTAGATGGAATTTCCGGTGATCACTCATTTTGATCGTCATTTATGTGATCACGACAACTTTGAAAACGTTGAAACCACTCGTGCACTCTGCTACGGGACAGGCAATTAGCGCCATAAACTTTTTTCATCAATTGAAACGTCTTGATAAAAGTTTTACCAATTGTAAAACAAAATTTTATGTTGGCTTTTTGTTCGAAGCTCATTTTCGACCCGATAACACAAATATACTGATACTTAAAACGCAATACCTTCACTTCCAATCAATGAAATGTCATGAATTTATCACTGAACAATCGATAAAGATAGCAGATTCTAACGGGGYGCTAGAGTCTTGTGTRCTTTGGAACGCACTTTGTATTATGCGATTTTTGAAACCACAATTAAGGATTGTAATTCAGTTCAAGACTGTGTCCTCAATAGAATTTTCTACATTTATTTAGAAATATACTAAAGACTTCGTGGTTCTTGAGCAAGAGAAAGCATTAGAAAAAAAAAAATACTACAACTTTGAAAGTATGCATACATATATAATCCGAGACCAGTTTAACGCAGGAAGAGAGGAACTACCATTGTTCAAAATAACCCGTGGAAGTGAACATGACCTCATTTGTAGCTTAGAATTGACGCCGAACAGTGAATCACTAAAAGAGATTCGSCCGTTGACATATAAGGGTTAAAGCAGCTTAAACGGATATAGATCTTTTCAAGAAGAGTAACTTAGCTTATGCGGTAATGTAATGGGTTCATTTATAGGTGGTCGCCAAATACCGCCTACAATAGCAGAAAGCATTGCGAATGATAACTTGCTCTATATAAAGCCGTTTTCTTTGCCGAAGATAAAATATTTAACTACAAAAAGTAGCGCTTTTGCTTTATATATATAAAATCGCCTTCGTATATACCAAAAAAAAAAAAAATTCAATAGCGAAAATAAACACCGTTCCACGTAACTGGGTTCGGTAGCTCCAGAAACTCGTGTGAAATCTCTTTGACGTTCTGTGTCTACCAGATCTGCGACAGCTTAATCTGAATGAAAAATACCTACACTGACTAGATAATAACTTTATACTGATTATATTTGCTGTTCCAAAATTAATATTATATGATTACTTGATTCAGGAGTGTTTGAGCTCACATCAAAGATAGACACCAGYAAATTTGCTATACTTTACGGTTTTTCTTCGATAGAGGCGATAACGCTAGCCATGATTTTTGGTCGAATCGCAGTGAGCTTGTGCAAACGTGGGCWAACAAAGTTGACGGTCAGAAAGATTTTGATCAACCGGGCGGTCCGAAGGGCCGGAAGGCATGCAATAATATCCACACTATGCACAATATTGTCACCCATCTAATGGAGTGGAGCATGTCGGCGTCATTTCAAAGCCAAATACAAGTTAGTCAAGGTGTAGCTTTACTAAGTAATCATCTTCTAAAAGCTACTCTCCGACTACCAAACTCTGTACCTGTACTGTCAACAACTGGACCGTTGGAAGGAAACAATCGCCCAGAAGCGGTCAGCCTTGGCCAATAGGAGATTTAGTATGTTTCATTAAAACAATACGAGGCCACCCAAATTGATAATGACYTGCCAAAGGCTTCGTCAGCTCGGGACGAATCTGGATTATTATCTGCTATTGTCTATAACAAGAGATTTTGCTAGCGAAWTAATCGTCTCAAGACAACCTTGTGAAAATCGGCTGTCCYAGTTTTTTGGTAATRGAAACGTGGTGCATATTTGACMTAATTTCAACCATGCTTATTAAAACCTGCAGTATATTGCAAAATAATAGATCTTTTTTTATTAGCCTTTATATATTTTTAAGTTAATAAAGTTTTAAAGTAAATTTTATTTGTTTACTTTTGCAATCAACTGATAAAAATATTCAAATTAGTGCATTACCAAATATGAAAAACGGCCTTAAATGCCCACTGTGACTTCGAATGCAAATAAGTATTAATTTAGAATCCAAGCAGCGGTATACAGATATAYCTAAGACCCGTTCATAATGCATAAATTTGACAGCAAATCGGTTGGCAGATCGCATTATGATTATTTGCTTATTTGACTCGCGCAATGATATACACAYATACATACATACGTATTTATATGAAACGATTCAGGAGGAGTTGCGTACGTGCGACGCCACACGCTGTCGCACTGCAAGCAATTACCAATGATTACTCACTTAAGTGATGGCGAATAGATGGCAACGCTCAGGTAAACGATGGACACACAGGACAAGACCATGGTCAATTGGCAGAGGCAAATGGCGCGACAGATGCGCTTATCCTGTTCCGGTATGAGACGCGGCTTATCTTTGCGGCGACCCATGTGTAGGCTGTGGCGTAAGCGTCGCTATTACACGGCGTCTACGTAGGTGGTCTGTAGGGTTGCAAAGCGTAGTCGATAAGGTGGATGCTTAATTGCTATAAGAGTTGGTCGCCGTTTGCTCACGCTGGTTAAATAATATGTGTATATGTATTTGCTTATATTTGCGTTTGTATGTAGGTGGCTGCGTTGTCGTCTTATGACGATTCCTTTGTGTATATATTTATGAATCGTTGTTCTTGTTGTTGTTGTTATGGTTATTATTGTGACTCACAGGTGGTCTTTCACATTGACTTTGTATGTGRCCAATATCTTATATTCTTTGTATACTATAACATTTTTGTTTGCATGTGTGTTGTGTGCCTTTGGCTGACTATTTACCGTTAAATGATTGTTGTGACMCGCTTTTGGTATATATTACTATTTTTTTTATATATATTTTTTTACTAAATGCACATTATTCCCTGCTCTACAGCATCTTTTTTGCTTTTCGCTTGTAAAATTTCTGTTTTATTACTTGTTGATGTCATTTACGAACACACTCACACACTTTGACAATTAGTCAGCAGCAATTTTTAAGTTATTACCAAACACAGATACGGAGAAGCACATACATACATATAGAAAGGCATAATTAAAATTAATTTCTTTCGCTTAAATGCCAAATTTAGTGCTTCGACGAGCTATAGCTGTGCGGTGAGGCCACCAAACTTCAACCATATACACAAACACGCACACAGGAGGCGCACCAACACAGGGAGGCACAACCCAATTAGAGGACTGACTGCCTAACTGTTGGTTTCGCTGCTTGGCTCCTGTGCTATTTATTAATGTATGCCAACGAATATCACTTCCTACTCCACGCTGCTGGTGGGAGGTGTGTTCGAATATAGGTAGACCTGGTGGGTAGGTGGAGCGAGCTAAATATTTGGAGTGCGTAAAATTCTTTCAACCAGCGTCTGCGATTATTACACCATTTAATTTATGCATACACTCATAAATATTAAACCGTTATTTCGTATTGCTCACTATTTAACGAACTTTTGCCACATATATTTGTATAATAATTTCATTTATTTCTAAATTCTTTGCACTTCCCTCGCAAAAGCACGAATCCACAAGTATTTGCACCATTAATGAATATAAAGTTAGTAGTGTGTGGGGCGATTTAATTCAACACCATTTTTTTGTTGGTTCTTCGTTTTACTCGGCTATATGTTTGTTGTGTTCGCGTTCGGAGTCGCTTGAGGAAAAATGTCAGCGTGCCGCGTTATCTCTGGCAACCGCTTTCGACGAGTATCCAAGTGAGACTAAACAATTGTGATTTTGACTTCAACGAACCAGTTTGGTTATCAGCTGCAGAAGGACCTACACACTTTCTAAAATATGCGCTCACTTTTCAGCGTTCCAGTGTGTGCGTGTGTATGTGATGGAGCGCGCTTTCGTTGACTAGCAAAGGCAAAAGCTTCGACCACAAAGCTCACAATGTCATTCACATTGCCAGCGTTGCCTGTAAATACAGCAAAAGGAAGTTGGTGAGAGTGTGGGTGAGGGAGAGTGAGTAAATGTGAGGCGGTAAAAACAGAAGAAGGAGTAAAAGCAWGATTGCCGTTACATTTGAGCATGTYAAGTATACTGAGAGTAACTGAGAATATGAATAAAGCTATAATACTTTTTGTAAATCGTTTACWTTCGCGCTCAATTTTCGGGTCTCAAAATTGGATATAGAAAAAAATATATATAATGTTTTTCCAACACTCCGATTTCAACGCGCCTTTTAATGCACTCTACCATTGCGAAGTAGTCGAATTCTTGGCAAGAAATTTCCGCTGCTGAATCTTGAAACTAAAAAAATTTTATACAGCCAACTCTTTTTAAACGGGTTCTTTTTACACGGATTTGAAGTTACACRGTTGAAAAAAAAATTGTAAAAAYATTTTAATCTAGTACGATTTCAAAATTACTGTTTTGTAATTATGTTTGTTTTTACCACACTTAGAACAGTTGCTGAAATGAACATACATATATAGTAGTAACTGGCATGATCATTGCTGAAATATATATCTCCAGTGATGATACCAGTTCATCGCAAACAATTGCGACAAGTAGCGGCGAATAATTATTAGCTCTATTTTTTATTTATTTCTATTCAAATTTTTCTGGATTAACAGATTTCTTTTTGTTTTTTCTTGCTTTACCAATTTTTCACCTGTATGAAGTTTTAAGTTGAATGCTCAATAAAATGCCATATGAATATACAATTTGTATGCATATCTGAAATTTTATAGTTTTCAACTTTTTTTACACGGTTTTTCGAAGTAAATATAGTTTATTTCATCTTACATGGTTTCAGATGACGTATCTACCGTGTAAAAAAAAGGGTTGGGTGTACATCATTTTTATAATCCCAGCCATATAAAAAAAAAGCTTTTTCGAATATTTGAAAAACTGAAAAAGTTCATTTTAGAACATACAAGTARTCATAGTTCAAGGTTAAAAAAAGCTGTTAAATATCGAAAAAAAATCAATAAAGCTGATGTATAAACATAGCGAGAGTTTTTTTAAATTAATAGTAGTTTACACATTTTGGAAGATTCGTGTCAAAACTTCTGATAAAACGCGTTTAGAGTTGACTGAGATACTGATGTGCACAATCAGTGCACGGGTAGTTTCAGGGCTTGACTACTCCTAAATCATCATGCTTTCGATCAAACCGCGAGTGTGGATGACTCCTTAAACATGTATTAGAGTATATAAAATTGCAAATTGAAATTTTGAGACAAAATCGCAGCTACTGAGCCAATTTTCAAAAATGCCGCGAGGGCATCTTCATAAGACTGCCTCAATTTGTGATCTTAAAATGGCCAAWACATTTTTTATAAAATAAGCTGCAATAATAAGAAAAAAATATAGAATAATATTACCATAAAGTTAGAGTTAAAATTTCAAGTGGGCTCGCGGCATAGCCTCCGAYAATATTAAAATATACAATTTTGAAATTTGTGTACAGCTTTACTTGAAAACCATTGTAAGTACCCTAAAGTATACTACCTACTACACACAGGCACGCAAGTATACTACCTACTACTTTAAGCCAAAAAATTAAGATATTTTAAAAAACTGACGTAATTTTTTGAGTCGGTTACGATAATTTACCCTATGCGAGGACTATTCAGTTTCTCCTTTTGACTTAAAAAGAGCAAATAGTTGAGAGACCCAAACTTTAAGCTTGAGGTGCATGCGAATCACAACTTCCATCTTTTAAACTCAAAAAATATTTGTTGGTGCCTATATACATGTAATATCTGCTATAGTGCACGTTGATATTCATTCATTATGAGGCAACTTTTTTATGATTTAGTATATCGTCAGAGATCTTGGGCGGTCATGTCCATATGGCACTCAACAGCAGTAGGGGAAATAGACGGAMAAGACTGTCCCGTAATCGATTAGTTAGGTGTAAATTAATCTTTTGGAAAATTGGTTAAATTTTACGCTTTCAGAACTTACCAAACTCAAGTTTCGATCTACAATAAGAATCCAAATTAGAATTTAAAAAAACTCACTCATATATGTATACGAGTAAATAGAATGTGCGCATTAAAATCGCAACACTAAGGATATGCATTTGTACAGCTTCAGTTTGTTTGATCAACTCTTGCAACTCTTGATACTTGAGAGACGTTGCTAACAGCGTAAACTGGACTGGTCAACGCTATCTGCTTGGTTATGATTATCTTTCTGTTTGTTAGTTGTTGTTGTTGTAAGTGGTTGTTTTGCACTCATAAAATAAACATTTCTATTACTTGCACACTGAGGACGCTTGCAAATTTCCTCGTTTTAGCACTATTAAACACTGCTCAAATCGTTTTTAACGCTGGCAGATGTTGCTTGTTGTTGTTGCTGTTGTTCACAACCAAATGGAATGTCGAGTATACGACACGTGCGCGGAATGCGAAGTATTTGCTAAGCGCTGTAGTTATATTTTTTTTTATACTTTTATTATTTTGTTGCTGATTTTGTTCTTGTTGCTGTTGCTTTTTGTAGAATTCTGCAGTGTTACTTGCGTCTCTTCTCATTGCGTTGATAGCATAAATCTCAAAGGCATGCAGCCATATAAACAATTAAATGCAAACTAAACAMACACACACACATACCGCACAGCCACTCGAACTCGAACTACAGCAACAATATCAACCACTTACGAAACGTAATTGTTACTGCAGTCTCTGGTCTGGCTGTAGTGAAGTCATCGGCATCATAATGCTTTTAAGTAGATTGCACTGGTGCCATGGTGCTTTGTGTGCTGAYGTTGTTGTYGTTGCTGTTTTACTCTGCKTCTTCCGCTTCATTGTTTCCACCTCGGATTTGAGTTGGTGTAAATATGCATGTGCATACTTGTAGATTGGCTCTGTGCAAGCAATATTTGTAAATTTGTAGGTCACAGTAATTTTACAACAATCATAACAACAACAAGGTGTAGTGTAAATGATGCGCAAGTGAAGAAATGAGCAAACAGTTGGGAGACACAGACAAATAGTAAAATAGTTTTGCCTTGCAGATTGTTGACAATGCACACACAAACACACACACACAAGCACAGATGCTATTTAGTATCTYTTTGCATGTGTGTGTGTGTGTAGATTGTAAGCAATCAAGAAAATGAATTAACAATGTTGTAATGGTGAGTTGGCGAGTTGGCGAGTTGGCGCCGTCCTCGTCGCTTTGCGCCAACCTTTTCTCACTTTTCACCAGTGACAGATTAAGGACAAATTACACATTCAATTAAATAATTAAAAAGTAAATAAGAAGAAAAGCAAAAAACATGATACTTGAGTGCTATTTTTAGCTATTTGCGGGATTTGGTTACAAAGTGTGATAAATGGCGAATGTTTAAGGACTRTTTTGTGATATACCATGTGATCAAATTTGACCCGGACTCGGATTTCAGTAAGATATTTTTCCTCTTAACTTTGTTGGAATTTGATCTTTATATGTTTAATTATTGTTTGTTTGACAACTGCCGAAAATTTGTGTTGTGATTTTTACCACAGAAAAAAGCATTGAAAAATCAGTTTCTTGAAGATTTTGTGTTTCCAATGGAATCACAAAAATCGTGGKTTTTGGGGTGAGTACTTTACAATGAACATAAGTGTTTGAGTGGCACAAAGCCATACAGAGGGTCGTGAAGTCATTAATAACTTGCGTTTTGTCAGTCGGCTAACCACCTCTGYTAATGTGGATCGTRTCAATGTAGTTTGATTTATGTTTGCGGTATAAATCCAGTTAATGCCATACTCTTATTAAAAGGCCTAAATACGACCACGTTAAAGGYTGCAAAAGTGATGCTTGACAAGGTAGCTGTGGACCTCAYACATCAAACAGATAATTGCCGATGATGCGACATAAGTTTATGAATGTAACGTCGAAACTGTCGAACAATCTATTATTCATTCGCTGAAGGCTCTAAAGGCCATATATCAAGTTTGTGAAAACTGTTGCTCAGGAGTTTATTTCTTTTATTAAAAACGTAAGAATTAACTTATCRGGTGKTTATAAGGTGCTTTCYAAAGTAAACAGGACAGAACAAATAGTTTTTTTTGACAAAATCAATTTATTTTATTCAAAATATTATGCTTCATGCCCGGTCCAAAAGCATGTCGAACGCGGRTTCTAGCTCGTTGACCAGTATGGCCGCCAGTATGCCGGTGCAAGCCTTTTGAACGGCCTCTACGTCTGCAWAACGCTTTCCTTTCATGGGCAAATGCATTTTTCCGAAAAGGAAGAAGTCACACGGTGTCATATGAGCTRAATACGGGGAGTGGTKAATGRTTAAAATGTGATTTTTTGTCAAATAATCGTCCTTCGAATATTGGATTCTGAGCAAGTTTTGGTCGTCAGTAAATTTGTGCGGAAYAAACCGTGCACACACGTTTCGCCAGCCCAAATACTCGGTCAAACACATCTYGATCGTCATTTATGTCCTCACGACAACATTTATRTCCTCGTGCATTCTGATTCTGGATAGGCATTAAAAAAGTCCTGTTTACTTTAGAACGTACCATGTATAAAATATCAATAATTGTAGCTTCTTTAACAATTTATCTTATGTATTGTCAATCGCGGTACAACGAACTCACACGAACATTTAACGACTGATCCATTAGTTTGCATGGGCCAGTATAGTCGAATTCATTAACACAATCTCTTGGTTGGTTGTTGAAAAGGTCGCGAGAGATCGCAGCCAATTACTTATTTTAAATAATTGCTTTTTGATGATATTCGCAACTTTTCACAATCATTTGTACCCGACTGAGTTTTTACAACTTGATGCAGAGCTCAATATATATAGCTTAAAATATAATAAAAACTTCTCGTGCAAAAGTTATAGCAGCATGCCAAGTATTAATAGCATTATTAGTGTTGAAACACGCAACATTAATTATTACTACTCTGGTGGTACGCGACGTATACGTAACCTTTTTGATACGAGCTCTAACGCTTTGCCTAAAAACGCAGTAATCATTAATAATATTATACTTACACATTTTTACATTATTGCCCACATATTTATTCCATTTATGGCTGAATTAATRAAGCAAACGTATTTTGGATTTTCATTTGAATTTTATTTAGCGATTGCCATTATCTTTATTTGAAGATTTACAATTTTGCGCTGAAGAAAAATATTTTTTATTTTTATTTTAATTTTTTTTATTTTGTAAATAGAATCCTGTATCGATTTGTTACAATTTGTATATGTGTTTAGTATGCAGGTAGGTATTGCAAAACGTTTTGAAGTGAATTTTATTTTTATTTAGCTTTTGCTTCCCATAGCCAGGAACTAATAGCGCCGACGCTATTGGGTAGCTATGTTCACAAATCATAAGAAATTCAATATTATGATAATAAATTAATACAGCAAATATTAGAAATTATGAAAAATAATAAATTATAATGGAATTTCATAGATCATTTGTGGATTTTAGTTTATGAAAGGTCATTTAGGAGAGTTTTGATTGTTTTGCTATTATTGTATTGCAATCATTGAACATTTATATAGTTCCCGGTAGAGGTTATATATTGTGCGGAGATATTGCGAAATCGTCTTAAATATAATTTAGTTTTCGAAATAATTCGAAGAATTATTGAATTMTTTTGTTTTTTATTGGATTTGAGTTATAAAATTATTTTAAATATTTTTTAAACTTTTGCGGATGAAATTTTGAGGGTGAATATTTTTCTGAGCTCATTATCAATAGCTCAAAATTCGTGAAGAATTTATTTATGAAGGATGTCCACATAATCTAATTGGCCCAAATATAAAAACTAATTAAAAAATCGATTATAATATATTGAAATAGCAGAAGTTTTTGTAAAGTAAAGTAAGTTTTTTGATGAAACTCTGCCAATTCCTAAATACTTTAAATTCATTTTGACATACCAATTCTAAGATAGTCTTTACKATAAAATCAATCGATAAGTTCTTCAGAATCCATGGAACTTTTTTTGAGTTTTTTCGGAGTAAAAATCTTCTCTAAATAATATCTAAATATATTTTGAAATGATTTTTATTTTTCAAATATAATAAAGTTTATGATAAAAGCTATCTTGTCTCCAATATGTTTTGTGCATTTTTTTTTTTGAGTATTTTCATTCTAAGAAAGTTTTAAAAAGAATATCGTTCGAGTCTTTAATATATTCATCAGAATAATTGGAAATATTTCTGAGTTTGTGAGAATTTTAATTCGAAGAAAATTTAAAAATACATTCGAGTCTCGAATATGGTTTTCTGAATAACTTTTTGACTCCTTTGAGTGAAACCCAAACGTAGATAATCTATACTTGTCAACTCTAATCAAAATTTTCAAAAATAATCTTGCGAGCCTCAAATATGTTTTCGGAATAATTCGATTTTTTAGTTTTTAAAGTAAAATCGTTCGTGTCTCGATTCCGTGTTCGGATTAATTCGAATAGATTTTAAGTTTTTCAGTAAAAGACYTACTCTGAATTTTAAAGTTATTTTATATTTTATTCTAAATTTTTTAATAAAAATCTGTTAATCTCATTCAATCAATTATTATTAAGCTTTTTAACCTATTGCCATTAATATTTTCCAAGTCTAGATAAGAGCCTAATTCATTTTTTCTTTGCTTGCAATCTCCCTTAAATCTGCACTTTACTAGATTCACTAATGTATAAAGAGAAACGCAGCTGATCATCCCAGCAACAACTGACCAATTAGGCTAAAAGCATAATAAAAAATGCGACAAAGAAGAGAAGTCGCTCTACAGCGACTAGTATTATTTATACTTCTTCACAGGCTATATCAGAGAGTGGAGTAAACGAAGAGAGCAACGAATAYAGCACTATATTCCTGCTTTGTAGCCTACGCCTTCATCATAATTGAATTAGTTTAAAAATCCGTTATATAATTACGTGCATAATATATAACCTCTAACTCCGATGCATATTTTCTGAAGTTTCTACAATTTTTGTACACAAAAATTTAAGTTTTCACCTTTTAAAGCTGTTAAATAAACCAAATTCGGACCACTTTATTGCAACAATTGTTTTCTATAGCTTAATGAGCTGCTATTAAGTTTATGTTACGGAAATTTATTTTCGTACAGTTTTAGCAAAGCTTTTTAAGCACATATTAATATATACAATATTTCATGTTTTTTTGCGCTTCAATTCAAGTGAATTGCTAAGCGCATTAAAGCTTTTGCACAAATCTAATAAAACAAATTTTTGTTCAAACTATACAACTCTTCAAAATCGTTTTTGGAAGGTACTTTTTAGTGTTAACAAAAATGAAAAAAAAAAAAATAATTTTCAAAATAGTTTTCGAAAGTTACATTTTTGGGAAGAAAACTCGTATAATATTTGCRTACACATTTGCCGAAACTGAAAATTGTGTATGTGTGTGTCGTTAATTTTGTATTATTGTTTAACACAGTATGATACATAAGTATATTTACCATTTTACCTTAACTGTAGTGCTACATATTTGACTAGTCTAAACTTAAGTAACTCTTTAAGCCAAATTCGATTTACATTACAATTCAAACCTTATCAAGTATATACTTTGCAATTCATTTACWATTTTGCTGATATTCAACGCCCGCTCAGCAAATTGGCGTGTGTTATTTCATTCCTACATTACTTACAACATTTTCAACATTTTAAACGAATTCTGATTTTCTAGGGTACAACACGCTGAGAACACAAAACACATAATAATTATGACTATTATCACAATCCTTGTCTTTCAATGTATATATAAATAACTTTTTCAAGTCAAATTCAACATATAGTTCAATAATTCAAATTTTTAGAATTTTCAGCAAAACATTTGTTTACTAACAAAATACACTACTGTGTAACAAAATATATATTTTTTCGCAATTATAAACTTAAACGGCAGCTGCTGTGATGTATTTCAGTGCAAAATTGCTTAGAACGAAATGTGCAGYTTTCACTTTTACAAGAGCGCGTTTTTCGAGCTTTCATAAGTTTTCGATGCTTTTGTTTTCTGAGTGAAAAAAAGCTTTTTCCGAGCTTTTATTAGATTCGTTTTTTGTGCGAAAAAAGCTTTTTTCTAGATTGCACTCGCTTTAGGTATTATCGTTTGCTGAGGGAAAAAAACTCTTTTCGTGCTTGCACTTACTTTCGGTTTTTTCGTTTGCTGAGGGAAAAAAGCTTTTTTCGAGCTTGCACTTGCTTTCGGTACTTTCGTTTGCTGCATGAAAAAATGCTTTTCTGAAAGAGCTTTTATAAATTAAAAATTTGTTATTAGAAAAGTGTTTAGTTTGCTATTTTTACACATATATACGAATATATTTTGAATTGCTGTTTTGTTTTCTGTGTTTTTTTTTATCTATTTTTTGTTCAAATAAAGCTGTCGCCGTACTTACATATGTACTTTCTTATGCTACAAACATACATATGTGTGTTGTACTTAGCTTATATTTATTTGTATGACACTTTTTATATTAATTATATAAATGCAAAACAAGCCCTACAATATTTTATTTTATAACTTTCATATAAATATTTTTATTGTTTTCTATTTTACATATCGTGCTTTAGCATTTGCATATCAAGTTTTACTTCAAGTGCAATTGCAAATTCGAAAATAATACTAAAAGCTTTAACAAATAAATCGCACAAATACTGCTCTGGAGTTTGCAATAAGCATAATACATACATACTTATTTAAATACTGTTGAATTTGCGGCAGACAATTGCTTTGCTCTTGTGTTTAGCGATATGGGGGGCGGAGGAGAACAGTACGAATTGTCAATTTTTTTATAATTTACTTTGCAAATTGCGAATACTGTTATGTATACAATGCGTAGACGAACATACATACATATATTCATACACATGCATTAGGGTGTCCGTTATTTTCCAAGTTGATTTTTTTGTTAATATTCCCTTAAAAGTTGTATGCATTTAAAGTTATACAGCAAATCATCAAATGTACTCCGCGTCGTATGAGCAACACAAAGTGTTTAAATAACTACTATAAGCGTTGTTGTTATGGCGGCAGAAAACATTATTGAAGTAATTTCGAGGAATGGTGCTAAGTTGACAGTTCTTGGCTGGATAAAAATCCAGGTACGTTCCAATGAGAGCTATGAGCGCTCTTTATATTTGTTGCTGAACTTTGAATGCGTATAACTTTTAAACGGGTGTTTTTATGGAAAAAATCATAAAATCATTYATACCTTTTTTGTGGCGCAGAAAATTTTGTAGAAGAATATCACTTTTTAAAAGTAGCCGATTTATTTGCTTATTGGCAAAGCAATATGATTTCGGGAAGWGAAATATGATTTGGGAAAGGTTAAAAATGAAACTAAAACGAGCGTGTTCACGCTTTCATTTCTAACTGAAACTTTCAAAAAAAAGAAAAAAAACAACACCCTAATACAGATATTGCTATATGTATGTGTGCACTGTAATAAACATACGAATGCGTTTAGCTATAATGAGTCCTAAATATGTATGTATAGGTACATACACATCGCCATATTTAACTAGCTACATATATGTATGTATGTATGTGTATATATAATTACTATGTGTATGAGCGTAGTAGGTAAATATTATTATTTATTTGTAACTGTTGTGTACGAATACAAAATGTGGCTATCGATTTTCTACATTGTACTCCTTCTACGAATACGAATACGTGTACGAGTACGATTTCTTGCTGTTGTTGTTGTGTAAGCAGCTTTTCTAATGCTACGAGTATATCTAGCCTTTCACTAGACTCGCTAGTTCACTAGTATTCCATATCATCTTCGTCGTCACTTTGACACAGAAGTTTTCTACAACGGAAATTGAATGAATGAATGAAAAACTGTGTGTGCTTYTTTCACTTTATTTTATTTTATTTTTCGTTATTTTTTTGTGTGGTGTTTGTGGTGTGGACTGCTTCGGTGTTTACGACAATCAGGCAAATTTTTGCAGGCACGTTTTTGAAAAGGGAGGCAAACGATTGGTACAAGTCTACAGGTTTGCATGCATTTTATAACATTCAAGTAAGGAATTTGGAATTTCTGGGAAAAAAAAATGTACGAACGGTTTCTACTATCTAAAATCTCTAATAATTTAAAATATGCAAGTTGCTTTAAAAATGTGCTTAATATCAAAAAATACATTTATGGACGTTACAATAAGAGACACGCTTCGAAAAATGAATACTACCCAGGTAGACATTTACGATAGGGGTTTTTAGTTAAAACAGAATCACACATTTTCATATATATTTGTGTTTTTTCTTAACTATTCAAATAAAAAGATGTTTTTTTTTTTGTATTTTCTAATGCTTCCAATGAAAAAAGCGAAAACAGAAATTATTTAATAAAATAAACAAGAAAAACGTTTGAGGTATAATATCGTTCGCTAATAAAAAGCTTCTATAAAAGAAATTGATTTTGATCTGCCAGTTTTTATGACAGCTATATGCTATAGTGATACGATTTGCACAATTTCTACGTTATCGCATAATGAGACAACAATTCATGCCAAAATTCTTAAATAAAAAAATTTTCACTGCAAACTCTTCATTCCGATTGCTTTTTGTAAGGCCGTTATATGCTATAATGTTCCGATCTTAACATTTTATTCGGAGATTGTAGCATATTCTTGGAAAACATTTTATACTAAATTTCGTGACGATATCTTGCCAAATATAAGAGTTTTTCTTACAAGGACTTCGTTCCGATCGCTCAGTTTGTATAGCTGCTATATGCTAAAGTGGTCCATCAGTGGTGATCAGTGATTGCACTAAAAATAACCGTATTATTGAGGAGAAGGAGGTATACGGATTTTGAAACTGATATCTCAAAAGCTGACAGACTAGTTCGCATATAAATAGATGGAATTGTCCCCTCACTTTGAACATAAATCTCATCAAAA